GATTGCCCCTAACTGCCTCTGCCTCTGCCCCGCCACCATGGCTTTGTCCAGAAGGATGTCCGGAAGGTCTCCCGGTCTAATTAGCATATTACCCTTTTATTAGTATAGATTCTATATCTGGCCCTGTCAGAGAAGGGACTTGACTGAGGTCCTGTTTCCTTGGAAAGTAGAGGCCTCGGCTCTGTGTCAAAGGTACAGGCATGGCTGAGATCCTTCAGGCAAGAGTAGGTCATTCCATTCTCACTATTGTAATTTCAACTGGCAAGCTTTCTGAAAAGCCATGATTTAGAGAACAAGGTCAAGGGTCTCAGCACTGTGTCCTCGATGTTAATAAACAGAAGCGTAAAACCAGGGCCTCCAGGGAGGGACTGCATTAAGGGGGTGTGTTATGTAGAATGATGCCCCCACAAATGTGCCTATGTTCTAATTCTTAGAACCTCTGAATGTGTGCTCTTACATGGAAAGAGTTCCTTTGTAGATGTGGTTAAGGCTTTGAGAATGCATTATGGACTTTGAGAATGCATTAGACTGCCGTTAACGCTATTTAAAAAATCCTCATCTGAGGATGTGTTTTCATTGACTTTTTTGAGAGGGAGAGAAAGAGAAACATCAATGTGAGAGAGACACAAAAATTGGTTGCCTCCTTCCCACACGCACCCTGACGGGGCAATCTAACCTGCAACCCAGGTGTGTGCCCTTGACTGGGAATCAAACCTGAGATCCTTTGGTGCGTGGGCTGACGCTGTAACCACTGAGCACACCAGCCGGGGCACTGTTCTTTGTTGGCATTTATCACATACCTCCGGGCAGGGGTCCTCAAATACAGGCCCTGGTTTTACGCTTCTGTTTATTAACATCGCGGGCCACATGCAAATACAAATATTGTATTTGTTCCCGTTTTGTTTTTTTACTTCAAAATAAGATATGTGCAGTGTGCATAGGAATTTGTTCATAGTTTTTTTTTAAAACTATAGTCCGGCCCTCCAACGGTCTGAGGGACAGTGAACTGGCCCCCTGTTTAAAAAGTTTGAGGACCCCTGCCTCAGGGTGTCTAAAACAGCACTATTGACATTTTAGGCTGGATAATTCGTTGTTTGCAGAGTGGAAGAGAGGCAGCTGTCTGTTTAGTGCACTGTGGGGTGTTTAGCAGCATCCTTGGTCTCTACCCACTAAGATGCCAGGAGTTTACCCCCCACACTCCAAGTGGGGACAACCAAAATGTCCCCAGACGTCGGTAACTGTCCCTGGGGCAAAATCACCCCTGGGTGAGAGCCACTGTGCTGGCTCAAATAATCTTATTTGCTGGCCGTCTTCGCCTCTTACAATGTAACCCAAAGGCGGGAGTGTGGCCTTGGCTCTGGGTTTAGTGCATTGCTAGGTTTGGGATAGAGAACTTGTTGGTGCTCTTACCACCTAGCTGAAGTGGGGAGACTGGGGGAGCAGACATGGACAGACCAGGGAAATCAAGGGTCTGAATCGGATACCTGGTGGGGAGGTCAAGGGGCAGTTGGGTGCCCAGGGAGAAGGTCCAGGCTAGAGGTGCTGTAGTCAGTGTACGGGACTGTGAGCAGCCAGGCCTTAATCGCTCTGGCGCTTTCACCGTCGCTCCATATAATCCATCTCATATTTTTTCATTTCTTAGCCCAAGTAGCCATTAACTTGGGCTTTCATTTGAATTCCTTATTTGCCAAATGGTGAAAGTCGTTTGAGGAAAGTGTCATTATCTTTGGCTCCATCACCTCCTTGCTGCATCCCCCAGACCTGTGTTAGAGTGACAGGAGCCTGGTCTAACGGCTACACCCCTGCAATGTGGACAACTGACCCTCCTCCCCTGCAGTTGTGACAATGGGTAACTCGCTCACCTTTTCCTTGTCTCCCCCGGTTGAGGTAATGCACGCACTAGCGACCATTCTGTAGCTAAAGCTCCACACACCTGCTTGCAGTCATTTTGTCTGTTGTGACCTTTGTTGCCTTGACACACCCTTCACCAGGTGTTCGTGTGGGTTCTCCCGGTTACCAGTTCCCCACTCTGCAGGGCCTTTCTGGGCTTCCCCTCTGCTGTTCCCCATCTTTAAATGCTGGTGCACTTCCCACTACCCACCGCCCCCAGGGACCTGGTGTGGGTCTTATCTGACCCACTTTCAGGACCACCCCTCTCATTCTATTACTGACAACTCTCAAATCCGTATGGCTACCACTTAATGAACAACAAAAAGCATTAACTTGCCTCTTTATACTCTAGTTCTGACACAAAATGCATAGTTGGCCCTTCATTATCTGCAGGTTCCACACACGAACTAATTGCAGATGGTTTTTTTTTACACTTACACCATGAACTCCCAGGAAGGGTACCATCACCTGAGGCTCCTTTCCACTGGCTCTCAAGTGAACTTCTCTGGGTGGAGCAGGCTGACCCTCCCTCCAATTGAACCCAGATTTTACAAGGATCTGGTCTTGAGCATCCTTGATCTTTGGTGCCCATGAGGATCCTGGAAACAATACTTCAGGATAGAGGGAGACCTTACCCTAAAATTCACATATGCAGAACCCCCAAAAGAGGCGAATTCATACCCATTCTGTGAAGTAATATAAGGACCATCACTATCTGACAACTTACACAAGGGCCCAGTGAGGTATGGGCCTGTGTGCATGTTAACCACGTTGATTTGACCCTCTGGGCTTGGAAAGCTAGGTAACTGCTTTAAAAGGCTCAGAATCAGACTTAACCACACATATACCCTACCCATGCCCTGTGCCACTACCTAAAGCCAAAGCCAGGTTGCCCAGGACCAGATAAAGACTTGAAAACATTGGGTATGTGGATACAAGGCAACCAATGGCATATGGAGATCAAGATGAATGTTTAATGCCAACTATTATTCGTTCAACAATTGTTCACCTGAGCACCCCCTTCCCAGATGCCCTAGTTTACCCTATTTAGGCAAACAACTAGATCCACTCAAACACAACCAGAGTGAAGGATAAAAAGAGCCTTTATTTTTAAGGATGGAAATGATTATTTGAAAATTTAAACAGCCAGATTATACAAGAAATTGCTTGAAAATTCTCTTGTCTTCAAAGAGTTGGATTCCTGTAGGGAAAAAAGAAGTGAGTTTATTGGATGGGAAAGAATATGCACTGTGAGCTTACAAGGTGCCAACCTTTAACCCAATTACACCTCTAGGTTTTCTGTTTATGTCAGTAATTTTGAATATTGATTAGTTAATTGGCATTAAAAAAGGTCGCTCAGGGTGAACAAATGGCTATATACCCGAAAGTGGGAAGATACCTACCATTATACATGCTTTGTTCTTTCTTTAGACCTGAAAAAAAAAAAATACGATTTTTTTGAACAATTAAGTTATTCTTCCCTTTCCCGTGTTTAGAAATCCTTGTGATCCCTCAGACAGTTCCTTCTGGAACAAGCTTTCCTCTTCTCCCCCAGCCAGCCCCAGTGGGTTCACCTTTACAGGCTCTGGGACAAGGACAGGAGGTAAGACATGTGAAGGTTTCTTCACTGGGAAATTGTAGCTCGGCTTGCACTTTACCTCTGAATTACTCACCTCAAACTTCAGACTGAAGTTGAGCAGAAATACAGCTTACACTTCCCCTGCAAAAGAATGAATGGGAACTCACTCAACCAGCCCCAGGCACACCTGTATAGGCTTCAAAACACACTTTTCAGAAACGAGGTGGTCCAAACAATGTCCTATTGGCTGAACTGCCTACTCAATCAACTTCCCAGGGTCACTTTTCATTCCAAGGCAAGCTCACAGCTCAGAAAATACCTTTCAGTCACAGTGATCAGACTGGGGCGGTATAAACTCATCACTGGTGAGTGATCCAAAGTACAAGACTGGCACATCTTATATAGCAGCCATAGATTGAGATTACAAAGAGGCTTACAGGCTTACCTCCAATCATTCCTGGGCCCCAGAGGTGCTGGACCTGAAACAAGACAGAGTCAGCAGCATGCACTTCCTGCATTAAATGCAGGCTTCAGCCAGTTCCTAGAAAATCAGATTTCCGAGTCTCAACAGCAAGTCATCAGCCGAACGAGATTCCATGTCAGTCATCATATATACAGGCTAAAGGGCATTCTCTACCCGGCATGTTGCACATGTGGAAACCACTCACCTTTGAGTGGACAAGCACAGCAGGTCACTGTTACCAGCACCTAGAAAGACAAGGCTGTGGTCGATGAAAATGCCAACTTGGTATCCCCGCCGCCACCATCTTCTCCAGTTTCTCAGGTGTTCAAATGTTTTCATTATGTACGTCATAGTGAGCTAGTTCGATTCATCACAGAAACTTGACGACTTGGTGGCGTAAGCCTGACAATCAACTCACCTTTTAACTCTGGAGGTTTCTCATTAGTATACAGGACCCAGCTGCTCCTAAATGAGATCACGCAATTAGCAAAAGACCAAAAACAGCCAAAGTGATTCTAGTTATGGTTAACAGGCAGGACACCAAGAAGAACTAAGCAATGCTATCTCTCTGTTGTACCTCAGACAGTTCCTTACGGAACAGGTTCTCATCCTCTCTCCCAGTTAGCCCCAGTGGGTTCACCATTACTGGCTCTGGGGCTGGTACTGGGGTAAGACAGGATGTTTGCTCTCCTCACTGGCACTGGACCCCGCAGCAAGTTACAACAGTTACACACACTCACCACTTCCACCTCTTTCCATGAGTTCAACCCAGGGCAGATCAATGGCGATCTAGGAGGGAAGAGATCAAGAAATGTCACTACAAGCAACGAGAAACCAGAAAGCTAAATGGGTCAATTAAGGCTCTGGTAACAAAACAAAACACGTTGCCAAGTTAATCACTGGATAATAGATTCACGTGTTAGTTTACCACAGGATTGGAGTATTGGGAGAAGCTACTTACCATTTAGATAGGTGAATAGATCATCATCAGGACAACCTATAAATGAAGAGTAAATTATTACTAAAAATGTTAGAATGGAGTAAAATTTAATCATTGAACAGAAACTGCCATCAGAACTCTAACATGCTATTACCTGTCATACCTCACAGAGCGTCAGCATAACAATTCAAATCATCTGACAGTGATATGTGGGTGAAGGGGGAAATATCACACCCCCAAGAACCAGATGTACCACCGGGGTGTTCTCTCCCTCCCCAGCACAATCATTCCAGGAGAAACAAGCAGGAAGGACCATTTGCTCTCCTGGTTGTGGGGGACACTGGAGAGAGAACATCTCAATCCCTCATTTAGACAATTACCTGTGATCACCCTCGGAGGCAGCTGAATCAGTCAGGACTGATGAGATGCTACGGACAGAAAAAGGAGGCATTACATACATTACATATACCCAATAGCAGCCATTCAAAGCCCGTGAATACTCTTGGCCGACTTCTCAGTGCTTAGATGACATCACTTGTAAGTTCAGTCATATGCTTGTCGTTGTATGTTCATCACGGAGTGGCCAGCCCAAGGGGACACCCATCTGCACACTGCGCCCCTACCCATAATGGCATAATCCTGTGTACCCACCGGAGCCCCGCTGCAAGGACTGATCTGCATGGGGATAGGTCTGGTCCCATCCTCCAACCTGTAGGAGCTCTTTGGGTCGGAACCATACCTGGAAAATAGCGAAGAGCACCCTTCACTTAGGTTTCATACCGTGCAGCCTCGTCTTGTGCGCGTGCCTCAACACTTCAGAGCTAAACAGACCCCAAGCATGAAAATACAACCCAACTTTTGCTGCGGATGGTGCTACTCAGAATGTATACACTTCTCCACCAATCCATCAGAAAGAGAGAGTTCAGTTTTTATCATCCCCGTAGCACATCGCACAGGACTCGCACGCACGCAACAGCGGAGGAATCAGCACTTACTCGAACAAGAGGGACATTCCGGGTCCTCTAGCGTCCAGACCTGCGCCCGAACCCTGCCGACAAGGAGGACATTAGGTCAGTATTGCATATTGCCCAATGCTGTGCCCTCCGGAGCGCCCACTGCACCGGCTGTGCAGGGCCAGTCTCAGAGTTTTTTATCCTCAGGGGATTCAGTACAGGTCTGTGAAAGGTCCTCATCACAGAGAAGGCCGCCGGCACCGCCATTTTGTCCTTCACAAAGCCCTGCGGTAGCTTCGAGGCCTGGAGGCCATGGCCAAGTCGCCCCATTTCCCGCCCCCGCCCCCCAAACAGACGTAACACAGAAGACGGCCTAAGGCCCGCCACGCTCTCGCGGGCATTCCTCCACGCCGTAGAGAGAACACTCACCGGAAGCAGCAGAGAAAAGACAAGACCCGGAACCCCCAGCGAGGCACTTAAATACCCTCTCGCAGAGGCCCACGGGATTGGAGGGCGGGGCTGCGGCGGGCGCACGCGCACGGGGAGAGCGCGTGCGAGCCTGGGGAGTTGTGGGTAGAGATTTCCAGACAAAGAGGACGCGAGCGCGCGCCCCCAGCGGCGCGAAAAGCCGCGCATGCGCCTTAGGGCAGCGCGCAGGCACGCCTTGGGCGCCGCGGCGCGGTCTGTACCGCCGCCTTCCGGTGGGACTGGAGCCGTGAGGCCGGGGGCGGCTTCCCGCGCCTTGTCGCTGCGTCGGGGTCAGAGCCGCCCATCCCCAAACCCTCCCCTCAGCTCCCCTTGCCCCCCCACACCCTAAACCCGTGTGCAGGGCCCACCTCCATGGATCCCGAACCTCCGGAGCCCTCGGCCGGGGCTGGTGCGCAGGGTGCCGGCGCGGGAGGCGACTCAGGTACTGCAGGTCCCTGCATGGCGCCGTTTCCGGAGTGAATCCGGGCGAGTCTGCGGACAGGGTCTGGGCTTTCCTGCGCGGCCACCCGCGTCCTGCTGCCCGGCCCGGTTCTGCTAGGATCTTGACTTGTGGCTCGGCTCGCGTTGGGAGCACGTTTCAAGCACATTGCATGAGTTGAGGAGTCCTTCCAGGTCCCCGGGGCCCCCTGTTACAGGGGAGGGGCCCCTGCAGCTCCCGCCGGGTGGCCGGGGTGGTTCCCGCCACCTGGAGACCCGTCACTGAGACCTGCCGCGAACACCGACCGTCCGTGCGTGTTTTATAAACATGCAAAAGCTCTTGGCATGTGCTCTGCTGCACGACCTCACTTCGTATCCAGCCCCAGGGAGGAGGATTGAGATAAGGTTATAGATGGGGAACCCGAGACCCAGAGCGGTTAGCGGACTTGCTTGGTGTTATCCCGCTAAGAAATAGAGCGCCAAGGTGCCAGTCCAGGCCGCCTGATTGCAGACCTGCCTTTGGACATCCATGCGGGACTGCCGTCATCGCACACTGTCCTCCAGGTAGCGGGGGACCAAGCAGATACCCGGGAAACAAATGGAATGATCTCCGGGGACTGTTTCTCAAGCTTCCCTCATTATTCTCTCTCCACAGGCGCCTTAAAAAGACATTTTCCCCTCTAATCCCCCCTCCCCATGAAAATTTCTTTTAAATATATATATATTTTTTTATTGAGGAAGGGAGAGGGAGAGAGAGATAGAAACACCAATGATGAGGGAGAATCATGGATCGGCTGCCTCCTGCACGCCCCCTACTGGGGATCAAGTCTACAACCCGGGCATGTGCCCTTGACTGGACTCGAACCCGGGACCCTTCAGTCCAGCAGTCGCCAACCTTTCAGACCTCAGGGACTACCAGTGGTCCGCAGACCACCGGTTGGGGACCGCTGCTCAGTCCACAGGCTGATGCTCTATCCACTGAGCCAATCTAGCGAGGGCCCCATGAAACTGTAATACCACTTGGATTGCGGGAAACGAGTTAAGTCGGCTCGCGTGAATTGCGCGTACTCCGCGGGAGTCGTCTTAACTCGGTTCATATAGATTTGCGGTGGAGTGCGGGAAACGTGTAAACTCGGGCGGATTGTAACTGCGTATTACCAAATATTTGTTTGTTTGCCGTTCACAAAGATACCTACCTGCGTATGCGAACCGTTTCATACCCATTGGGGTAATAGGTATCATAAAAATCCCTTGTAAGTAGAGAACACTTTATGGCGCTGGTCGAGTACAATACCGTTAGGGTACCAATGTATTGTTTTCTCATTTTATAACTGATATCCCTGGATATCTCACCATGCAAAGAGAATAGTTATTGAGAAATACTTCTTGTGTCCGGACGTCTTTAGTTTTGAGTTTTGTGAATATTATTACGTGTTTAAATATTTAAATATATTGTGATAAAGACATTCATATAGAATTTTTTAACCAAATAAAATAAAATCGTTCTGCAAAGTGTTCGCATAATAATTATTTTTTTATATCAGATATCTATCGGAGTACCGCTATTTTCAGTTAGTATTATTTTTATTTGCTTTAACCTAGAATGTCGCAGCATTCAGACTATAGTGATGATGAGTTTTGTGCAGACAAGTTGTCCAATTATTCTTGTGATAGCGATCTTGAAAATGCGAGTACAAGTGATGAAGATTCTAGTGATGATGAAGTAATGGTGCGTCGCAGGACATTGAGGCGAGGAAGAATTTCGAGCTCCAGCTCTGACTCAGAGTCAGATATAGAAGGCGGGAGAGAAGAATGGTCGCATG